AGGAGAGAGGGAGGAAGAAGAAGGGGGAGAGGAATGAGGGAGGAGACCTTCTCGTACCTCATAACCTTCTCCCTGTTAACCCCAAGTGTCTGACCTCACACTTTGGACAGACAAACACACACAAAAAATAAACAGAAAAACAGACATTCTTTGTCTTATAAATATAGCTAACGGAAGGCAACTATCAGGGGCAGGCGCCCAGCCATCACGACCATACAGCACTTGGAAGGAATCAGTATAAGGATTTGGGATGGGACGGGAGGAAGGAACGGTAACGGATATAAAAAAATAAAGGATATATATATTATATATATTAATCATATGAGTCGTCGTTTCACATATATAAAGCGCATATATTCCACGTGTGGTTCGTCATTACAGCCAAAAAGATTTAAAATTATTTATTTTACAATATTTTCACTGGGCACTATTATATTTACTTTTGTCTCAAAATGTTTCCTGTTGTAGTTAAGAAGCAGTTTCATAGTCGTTCGAAAATTGTACATCTACATAAACGTAATCCAAAAATAGGATAGAAAATAATAAGACTAAATCCCAACATCACTTGCATAGGAAATTGCTAAATAATTACAGGAGACCTGATTACCGGAGGCTGTTCATCTAGAAAGTGTAATTCAGAGTCTCGTTTGGGTCTTGGGACGAGGAACAAACTCTCCCTCAGGGGCTGAGGAATTCATTAGTTTTGCTGCCACTTGATTAACTCCGTATCGTCTATTGAGCGCAGCACTCTTGATTAATCTTTTTGTGGCACGATAATAAGTTCTTGTTGTTGTGAGCTTGATATAGTGAAACACATTATCATTACCAGCATAATAATATCATTAAAGACACGGTCCTTAGTAGGGGATAGTCTTAGACTACGCTATCTCTCATTATATATATAATGAGAGATAGCATAATCTCTCATTATAATATATATATATATATATATATATATATTATATATATATGTATACTTAACTCTCGTGTTTAGGAGAGTTGTGCCTTAAGCATAGACACTGTGTCTTCCCATATTAACAGGGACTTGATGAAATTAACGTCTAAATGACCCCTCACTTGCTCTAGTGCTCTTGGGAGGTGGTGATCTGTGGTGTATTTAAATACTCCGAAATTACCATCTCTTTTAAGGGTCTGAGCGGGTGGTGGAGCGGGTTAAGGCGTACCTGTTATGCCAGTTGCTGGAAGGCTTCTGTGCTGGCTAGGGTTCGAGTCTCCTGGTGGGAAAGTGTTCTAAAGTTGTATATATATATATATATATATATATATATATATATATATATATATATATATATATATATATATATATATATATATATATATATATATATATATCAGCAGATGGTGTATACAACAGCCCGATTGTTGATTTGCTTCGTTTTCTGCTTTCCTGTCAGTGTTCATTTATTGGTATTCATCAGTGCAGCGATCTATATGGATGATATTTGCTGGTCCTTCCTTAAGGTAAACGTGATGAATGTAGTCCTCCCTCGTGACGGAGGTGGACTCCAATGATGAATTAATGGCAACAACAAAAAATATGACATGGAAAATATTCATTGTGGGAATTTTTCCTGAGCAAAAACAAAATACTTTTCAATCTGAAACATGTGAAACTCTATTTTCTTCTTCTGAAGAGACCATTCAGTTAAGCTGTCCGAGAGGAAACGTATGATTGTAACTTTCTAGTTTACTAATTGGAAATCGAAGATAGGCAATTAATCTCTCCTCTGTCTGTCTGACTCACATGTTTGCTACAAAGAATGTGAAGAACACTCCTTTATATTCTTAGACTTTAACAACTGAGGCATCCTTCTCTTTGAACACTGGTTTAAGACCAGGTTCAAGATAAGTTTTAGCTATTTCTCATGTAAATAAGAGACAGATAATAATGAATTTTCACAATTTAAAACATCTTTTGCTGCGAGTCTTGTACTCGCGTCGATGTTACTCATTGCTTCATGATGGAACCGTAAGTAGAGGACATATTTTTGAGTATTTTTTACTTAAATAAAATTAGTTGTGATGATAATTGTGATTTTTTGTAATTAAATTCTAAACCGTATACAGTATTCCGTCTTTTTGAACAAAGAGCATATTGTTAATAATGTAAGAAAAGCCGCTAAAACACAACAAAGTTTCTATTTTCCAAATCAGTTTTGTGATGAAGTAGTCAATATGTACCAGAACTAATAGCTAATGGTGAGGGCGCCGGAGTTTACACGATCCTTTGCAAAAATTGCAACAAGGTTTACAAGGGTCAGGCAGGCAAATAAATTCGTGTTATTAAACATAAAAGGCCAGTCAGATATCGCCATCAGAGCTCATTATACAGTAACTTTAGTGAGTGATCAAGGAATTCTCTAGGAAGATAGAAGTATAATTTATCTTCAAAACTACGGTTGCAAACTAAAAAAAGGTAGTCTAATATTAAATAATATTATATCAGGAGAGTAATTTCCAGATTTGGTGAACGATTTGACAAGATTACTGCCTGACAGTTCTGGGTACACGGAGTTCCTTCACAGGAGTGACGGGTATAGACCAAGGTGTCCCTTCACTGGAGAATCAGCTATAGAACAAGGTGTTCTTCCACTGGAAAGACAACAGAGCGGAGACAAACCCATCACCAGCTTAACATCCTATTACTTAACCTGTGTATAATACCCGGAGAACACGCTACACATCTGCCTGTTTCCAATCTATATCGCATGATGAAAGTACCAGCAATACGCCGTTACTTCCAGCATGACACTGCGTGGTGGGTTTACCCAGCACTGGTTTGGTCCGTTGGTCGCAGTGCAAAGGAACATGCTTGAGGGATCCTTCTGTCTCATGCACGACAAATTACGATTGTACGGGTCTCTGTTATTGGGCATAACCTGTAGCAGGCTAAAAGGTACGGAATTACACACTGCTGGATGAACATGACATTGGGTTTCCGGTAATAATTGACCCTCTCAAAGCTTCGATCTCAACCCTGCAATATGGAACAGGTCACGACTTTCAACATACGTAGCTGGCGTTCGGCATGGTTTGATATATACATATATACATACATATATATATATATATATATATATATATATATATATATATATATATATATATATATATATATATATATATATATATATATATACGGCAAATAACTAGCAAAATAGAGAACACACCTGGCGATGATTATATAGAATTAAAACAAAAAAATTATACTTCTCATTCTTAACCTATAATAAGATGACGAAATTTTGTGGACGTCATGGGATTTCCCCCGAGATTTCTGCCGTTTATAAAAGGACACAAGTAAGAGAGAGAGAGAGAGAGAGAGAGAGAGAGAGAGAGAGAGAGAGAGAGAGAGAGAGAGAGAGAGAGAGAGAGAGAGAGAGAGAGAGAGAGACAGAGGGCAGATAATAGACAAACTGTCAGAGGACCACAAGACGTCTGTCTGTCTGTTAAAAGTTATAGGCTATTCGCTGGATGGATAGATAAATACAGATAAATGGATGGAAAGATAGATGGGCAGTCCCGAACAACGCCGGGTACCCCACCTCTAGTGTGTGTATATAAATGTGTGTGTGTGTGTGTGTGTGTGTGTGTGTGTGTGTGTGTGTGTGTGTGTGTGTGTGTGTGTGTGTGTGTGTGTGTGTATGTGTGTGTGTGTGTGCGTGTGTGTGTGTGTGTGTGTGTGTGTGTGTGTATGTGTGTGTGTGTGTGTGTGTGTGTGTGTGCGTGTGTGTGTGTGTGTGTGTGTGTGTGTGTGTAACTAAAAATAAAATATAATACTTGAATGGGTATCTGGCTGTGCCTGGGTCTGTCTTCTCCCTTTCTTCCCTTCAAACTCTCTCAACTCTCTTATCTTTACACCCTCTCTTCCTACTTTCTTCCCCTCACTTTTTCACCCCACTTCTCCTATCTCCCCACTCTCCCCTTCTCCTACCATCGCCTATCCTTCTCACCCTCTCTCCTCATGTTGTTCTCTCTCCTCCATCTCACACTCCCCTCCATCTTTCTCCCTTCTCTTCTTTGTCTTCCAACTTCTCCTCTCTCCCCCTCACCTCTACCTCTCTCTTTCTTTCTCTTTCCCTCTTTCTCTTTCATATATTTTTATATTATGATGCACTAAAAAAAAACTTCTAAATCCACATAAAACACTCCCCGGATTTCATAGTTAATGAAAATAGGACAGATGCCAATATTTCCATAAAGGTGACACTAGGGCTCACCACGACCCACCTGTGGACCTGAAATGTCCCACGTGTCGTCTTGGGAAGCTGGGTGACACTAGCCACATGCATCTGACCTACTCTGGACAGACAGGCAGCCAAACACAGATTTTTCATTATAGGTTATTTAGGGATAAGAAATTAGGAAAGAAATATATGAAAATATGATAAATATGGCAATGTGTCATTAAATATGAGAAACGATTCAATCATTGATTCTTGCACGGATTTTTTTCTATATTTCTTATATATATCTTCACTTGAGAAGCGAAAAATTAACCCTCCAAAGTTCATTTTATAGTTTTTATGACCTAACGCTAAGAAATACGTTTCATTGATGCTGTCAACATTTCAAAGTGCAGGGTTTAAGTGGATGCAAGTTAACTGGAGCAATTCAATATATAACCAAGAAGGATAAGGTTAAGTAAGATGTCGCACAGGCCTGCAAGTCTTCTGCAGTTTTCGTCACTGTGTTCTTTTGACAGCGGAAGCAGAGTTTAGTTGACATTCTACCTTGGTTTTGAGGATCCTAGAATACAGATGAGTGTGAGCTGATGTTAATAGTTCTCGAGATTGCTTTAATATGTAGTAATTTGCTAATGTTTAATATTCTATTGTCATTGTATCCACCGATTATTTCGGTGTTGTTGTTCATGTATTCTATGGTCATGATCTGGTGCTTTAATAGCTATGTCAGCCGTGGCGAGGCCTAGAGAGCCAGGCAGTATATATTCGTGTGGCGTGCTGGTCATGTCGTCATTCACCGCCAGCCAACACGCAGATCAACAAACATTGCCAACCCACTAGCAGAGCAGCATCCATTCCCAGCCAACCAGAATAGGAAAACCCACCGTTATGAATGTTCTGGTGAGTGTCGCATATTCCCAGCTCTGTTTAACGTTTATTGTGCACCTATATCCCATCCTGCACTGAGCAATTGCATATCAACGCTCCTGAAAACGGTTAATATAAAATAACCTTCGGTAATATTTTGCGTAACTATCAAAAACTGTTTTGAAACTGATCTAAGTCAGTCATAATCAATAAAGAAACAGTCTGAAGGATTTTTAATGCTAAATGTCTTCGTTAGAATCAAAGCAAATATTTATGCACAAAATTACGTTAGACAGTGATCAGTATAACATACATATATGATTATATGTATGTTATATATGATTATATGTATGTTATACCAGATGATTATTCATTATTTTTTAGGAAAAAGACTCAATGATTGTTATCCATATATTTAGTCACCAGTCTATATAAGAGAGAAACTTGGCAATCATAACATTAAATGCTAAGAACACACTATAAGATTTGCGCCTATTGCGTCTATCGTATCTTTTATTTTGAGTCACATAAAGGGCATGTTCGTGTCAGGGGCGAGGCAGTAAGTGAGGCAGCTGCCCTCATACTGCCGCTCACAACATACATCAACACAGGTAAACAGTTATTACACGCAGCCGCAACACCCTTATTTATGAGTGAAAAACTCTTTACACACGACTCATAACTTGTAACGTTCGAACATTTCTGAAACAGTACTTCGCTGACGATCTGTGTTCGAATTGCCAGTGTGTAAATGTTTTGCCCACATACTACAAATACAAAAAATTGCCAAAAGAGTTAAAACGTTTACCTAACATAACTCCAGACAAAACTAGGGGTGACTCAGTCATCACCCCTTGTATTTCCCATATTTATTTTTAAATGTGTAAATCAGATGTGATTCACACATTTAAAAATGCGTTTTCCGGATGTTCCATGCAGTCTGTCCACCAATAAACTACCCTATATTTTTATACGAGAATATCAGATAAAGTTATTGTAGCAGGCCAAGATTAAATTATTAACTAATTAATTAGTATCCTGTTAATATGACGAATCTGAGTCAAACATAATGTGCAATAATATTGGATGGATAGCACAAGACTATCATGTGCAATATTTATGTGCAAGATAGCACATAAATATATAGCACAAGATAGCACTCTTTGAGTCAATATAATTCATTCAACCCATTATAAGTTTTTGTTCTCAGGTCTTCACTGTGTTGTTGGTGGCCTTCACAGCAGCTGAGCATCACAAACGCAATGCTGAGCCGTTCTTTGGTTGGAGTAGTCGGAGTCGGGAGCACACTCGTCCCAACAGCTACTATTACAGAGCCCCGAGGCCCCAAAATGTGGGTTTCGGAATGAGGATTGGAGTTGGTGGAACCGGCGGGATTCCTGTATTTGGAACACGTTCGAACATTGGCTATGGCATCCGTAGAGGTAGCCGCGAGTTCCGTCGCAGACATCGCGAAGCCGAACCCGAGGACGGCTACGACTTCCGCCAGTTCTTATAAAAGCGATCAATGGATGATGACGCGATGCTGTGTGGACTGACGGACGTGTATGCTCAAGCAATCATGAAACTGATGCATGTGTTTAATATATCTGGATTGTTGTAAATTTCTCTCAATAATTGATTAAAATAGAGTAAATATTTGAAAATTAATCCATGTATTTCATTGAAAATGTTGAATCCTTTACATAAATATATAGTACATTAGAATTGTTCTGCTGTATCACTCTCTCTCTGTCTCTCATATATATATATATCTATATCTATATATATATTCATTCACCCAGCAGTAACAGGGTACCTTGTTGTCAACTGATTGGTAGGTCTTGCTTCAGGGAAACTAGCAAGGTAACCATGAGCTATGGAAAGGTGAAGCACTCACCCTGCTAACAGGAGCAAGAGGTCGGCTGTTCCTCTAACATCCTGTGCACAAATAACGTCAGAATTAATATCATAAAAATGACGTAACGTCTTTCTACGTATCAAGCAAGTATGCCTCGGGAGGGACAGAGTCGCGAATGATGAGATATTTGGATTACGAAGATTTATGGGATTTACGCTAATATCCTCTTCTACCCTCCCTGCCTCCCTCCCACTGCCTCCCTGCTTCCCACCTACACCCCACACCCTCCCTTCCTCCCACCCACACCCCACACCCTCCATGCCTTCCACCTACACCCCACACCCTCTCTGCCTTCCACCTACACCCCAAACCCTCTCTGCCTCCCACCTACACCCCACACCCTCCCTTCCTCCCACCCACACCCCACACCCTCCAGGCCTTCCACCTACACCCCACACCCTCTCTGCCTCCCACCTACACCCCACACCCTCCCTTCCTCCCACCCACACCCCACACCCTCTCTGCCTTCCACCTACACCCCACACCCTCCCTGCCTCCCACCCACACCCCACACCCTCCATGCCTTCCACCTACACCCCACACCCTCTCTGCCTTCCACCTACACCCCACACCCTCCCTTCCTCCCACCCACACCCCACACCCTCTCTGCCTTCCACCTACACCCCACACCCTCCCTGCCTCCCACCCACACCCCACATCCTCCCTGCCAGTAACTCCCTACCTATAATCGTCACATTTCTTCAACACCGTTGAGTTAGTTCATTACATAAACATATTGATGGGTCTGTTGGTTGTCAACACACAATCCTAATTTTTGCGAAAATACAGGATATACAATATGATGAACCCCTTGTTACTGTGTCATTAAAGATGAATCAGAAGACTGGCAATCTAACTGAAACTCTATTTACCTTTGTTTACTGAAAAAGCACAAGTAAATTAAGTTGGAAGTCAACCATGTTTTGCTATGTTAATTTATGCTCTCAGGCACAACATAGCAAATGTTATGTTATGAGGGCAAATGTTATGCCCTCAGACTAGCAGGTGAATACGCATACTAGCAACAAAGTTACCTCTAGTCTAGCAACAAAGTTAAATTGTCATATAACAAGTTAATTTTAATTATCTTTGTTTCAGTATTAAGTGAAAACAAGGCTCTCAGTTTGTTACAGTCATAACTCACTACTCCTACCTTTAAAATGTCACAACTCATTCCTTTCACGCTTAATCTGTCATAACTCGCTTATTCTTACCTTAATCTGTCAAAGCTAACTTCTCCTACCGTTAATCTGTCATACCTCACTCCTCCTCCCCCAAATATGCCATTACTCACTTCTCCCCTCCTTAATCTGTCACACCTGACTCCTTGTTTCCTACCACCGCCTCATTTAACTCTCAATCTGTCACCATCTTCTCCACCATTTAACTTCTCTATGGCGAAGCATTAAAGGCGTGGACTCGGTCCTACCACAGATCTCTTACCAAACTTATCCAATATGTTACTGTCTTCACATTCTCACACATAACACCCAACACGTCCACACTATATATTCCACAACAGTTCCTGACTTGTGTGTGGATCTCACCCTCTCGTCTAGTGTCTAGTAATGACAGCAACTTTTAAGATCGTCCATTGGACGTTAATTCAACATGACTCACTTTCCTGCTTTTACGTGAGCTTCGGGGGACATTCTCAAGTTCATAAATGTTTTGAAAAACTGTTAGTGTTACGTTAACGTATTTTTGTCTAAGAGAGAGAATCATGAGTGTCTGTTTATATGACTGACAAATATTGGATTTGATAAGGAGCTTTAAGCAATTGTTGTTCGTCTCCTCGTAGTCATCAGGATCTTATTTCTAATATGATAACTATTCACTTTTAGGAATCAAGAATCCTATGTTTTCCTTCCCAGCAAATTAGCAAGTCGTTCCTTACACTAAATACTTCACATTTGTTCGAGCGAGCCACTCGAATATTTCTCTGAAATATAATATCATTGTAATTGTATCTCGTTCACATACTGTGTTAAACGTAGACGTTGAATTGACTTTTGTCTACCTGGAAGTGTAAGCCCGAGGCATCCCATCTGACCTGTCGAGGTTAATGCTCATTACTGTCAAGTAGCGTTCATATTGCGACGGTTATTAATTTCACTTAAACGCCGTAATGTTTACATTAGAGTTGACAGCGAAAAGGTTTTCGTGAACTGAGATGACGAAGTGGAAATTAACGTGAGTTGGTGTAGATTAGTGCAATTATATACGATAAAGGCTGACACTAATAAAGATAATGATGATAATAAAATAAAACCTATATATGCAATCTCTTCGCTACTAGGTTGACACATAATAATACTCACATGAAATAGTACCTAATGACGCAGTGGTAAAACCCGTCTCGTGACTCTCGGGTGATATGATCTGGGTTTGAGTCCTGGCCAGGAAGAAAATTGACTTCACGTCAATCATTAACTGTTCGCCTCTGTTCACCCAGCAATAAATAGTTTCCTGGTTGTAAACCTATTAGGGATTCGTGTTCCAGAGAAAACCTAGTGCGTAAGGCATTCCATCAGCTATAGGAAGGGAAAGCTCAGAATACATAAGTCGTCTGATCCTGTACCCTTCTGAGGAAATAATAATAATAATAATAATTCGTACCCACTTACACTGGCTGGTTTTAACAATCAACAGGTCAAGCTCAGCTGACTCGCTTCTTCCAATCATAAACATTACTTATTTGATTTATTTCAGCCTGCAGGATTCTCCCACCTCTTGGCTGTTTTATGAGGACACCTTCACTGGCCAGAGTATTAGAGACAAAATATTGCTCTAAGGGTCAAATATTTTTCTGGTAGCTGCATTCTCGAGAGACTCCAGATATTTTTAGGAATCACGCTGCCTTTTTAGCGAGAATGACGACTGGAAACCCGATATCGTCTCCGGTGAGGCACGATGACCCTTCAGAAGTACGTTTCGTGGTCAGGTGTGCAATGATCCTTAGGAACCTGAGCTACGTCTTCACATATTTGTGTATCTATTTTCGATGGAAGTCGTTTGCCTGTAATGGCTAAATTTATATAAACCTACGATCAATTGTTGAAATTATCACACCCTCAGAGAACACACTATATATGTGAATATATAATTTGTTCATGGATGAACGTTTTTTATATGGATTGTTTACTTTTTCTGCTTTCAAGATGTTATAATAGATATTATTTTATTATTTAAATATGAGGTGAAGTATATACGACCATCCTCAATAAGGTTTATTTGAATCTACTTGTGTACCATATATATAGAACGGCGCCCTTGTACAGCTGAGCGGAATATCGTCCCTTTGAGAGCATCTGGTTAGGTCAAGCATGTGATGGCTCTTGAATGCATGTCCTTCCTAGCACGCAGGTCGTTAGTAATACGGTGTCCATTCATCAGCATGAGTTTCCTTCAATAATAAGCAATCCTGCTACCATTCTCCACCTGTTGCTAGGAGCCTAGAGGGGTCATTATAATTATCCCTCAATTACGAGGTGTTATACATTCCGTTTTCATTTAATTGCAAGGCATTGCAATAGCGTAATGATCCTTAAATGGTATGGTGATAGTTACATAGCTTCCCTCCTCCAGAAGAGTCCTCTAGCACAATGGAAACATGAACAACTTTGAGGATCTTTTTATAGGAGTGATCTGACTTCCTGCACCATTTATCCTGTATTTCTTGTCTACACAGAGTGCAAACAGCCGGATTTACTTTACGCGGGTTATAATTTGGGAGATATGTTAAATTAATAGTTTACTCAGAAGGGACGAAAGAGGTCACTCGGGTTCTTCATAAATAATACCACCATATATATATATATATATATATATATATATATATATATATATATATATATATATATATATATATATATATATATATATATATATATATACATATATATATATATATATATATATATATATATATATATATATATATATATATATATATATATATATATATATATATATATATATATATATATATATATATATATAACATTTAACCAGCATTTTATTCTGAGCATGTTCCATGAAAACCTTTGCCAAAAAATGTGCAGGCGACATCATTTGTCCTGAGCCTGTGTTGTCCGTCAGGCGAGCCTGGCCGTTCCGCTTGTTAATGGGCGCTGTAGCAAGCACTCTGAGCTCCACACGAAATATGATCAAAGTTTGGGACGAAATATACGACTGTGGAGGCCGTCAATAATAAACTCACTGAACCACTGAGTGGGACGAACACCAATTACAATGGAAATTCACAAGGAATGGTTTACCAAATAAACTGGGAATTAGCAAGGAATGTTATACCAGTTATAATGGGATTTCTCATGAAATGGCACACTAATTGAAATCAGAATTAGCAAAGAATGATATATCATAAGATGGGAATATGTATCCCCCCATTAAAATGCATATTCGTAAGAAATGTATATCATTTAAAAAGGGTATCCTAATTGCAACAGCAAATCGCTAGAAATGTTAGAACATTTTCAATGGGAATTCGCAATGATTATATACACAAGTTGAAATGAGAATTAGCAGGGAATGGTACACTAATTGAAATGGGAATCCGCAGGAATGTTTATCTTAAATTTCCAGTGAATTGTTTCTATTAATGTCTGGCGGTATTTATCTGTATTTATGTCTGCCGGTGTATTTATGTCTGCCGGTATATGTTTCTTAATTTCTATAATTTTGTCTGCTTGCTATATGTCAGTAGAATAGAAACTTGACGGTTAGAAAG